ACGAATTATGCGAACGCATTTTAGTTGAAGAAGGTTGTTTTTGCAAAAATCCTCCGCTACTCTCTCTCTCAAACTCCGCTACTTTATCTGACAAATCTCACTCTCTCTCTCTCACTTCATTCGTACATCTCTGCCTCTCCCCTAAAAATCCATCTCTGCCTCTCCCCCAAAAATCCCCAAATCCATCTATGCCCCTCCCCCAAAAATCATCCGACGAAGCCCTACATCTCTCTTGCTCTCGCCGTCGACCCGACGAAGTCTCGCTGATCCCGTTCTCTCTCTCACTCCGACCGCCGCCGATCCGACAAGACTCGTTGATCTCTACAGTCGCCGACGACCCGACGAAGTGCCCAACTCTCGCCGCCGACGGGATCAGAACTGCTGGATCTCCCTCAAGCCCCAAAAATAGGGATCCGACGCTGCAGGTTAAGATCTCCATCAATAATGAATAATCCTGTTGATTGTGTAGAAATTATAGGAATTTATGTAGAAATTATAGTAATTTATGTGTAGAAATCAAGGAATTTTTTTCCTTTTTCCGAAATCAAGGGGAAAATATTTCAGCAACTCAAAATTTGTTATTGATGCAAGAAAAATATATTTTCCGAAATAATGAATAAAATTTTTGTTTTTGCTGGAATAATTGATGCAAGGGAAAAAATTTGTAAATGGTCAAAGTTCACATGAACATTTGTTTCCTGGAAAATTTGAAGACTTTGTAAGGTTTGGTAGCTATATTATCTCTTTCCTTCTCTTTTCAATTATTAATTTTTGTAAATGGTCAAAGTTCACATGAACATCTGTTTCGAAATTTAAAGGGCTTAGATCTCAACCATCCGTCTTTTGTTTCAATTTGTGCCAGTTGAGATCTATGTTTGGTTTTGTTAGAACAATTATAATTGCCTCTAGCATTTCAAGTGGAAAGTTCTTTTCATACAAGCCTCTAGCATTCGAACTTGAATACAGTTTCAATATCATTCTCTGAATTTTTCTAGAATTCAAGTGGAATGTTCTTTTTGCAGTTAGTTTAATTTTACTCGAATTATAAATTTTTCCTATGTCTCTTTTCAGCACATGTATATGTTAAATTGTTCAAAATTGGCAGTTTGAAATGGCTTCATCATCAACTGTGGAAGGTAACTCATGTGTTGAAGTTGATATTAGATTCATATTGAAACAATGCGAGAGTGGTGAATTAGCGGATGTGAAGATAACGAAGTCGAACAAGAACAATAACCGTGGTAGAATTTACTACTCGTGTAAAAGGCAAAAGTGCGGCTCGTTTTTGGGCTAGTGCAAGATTTCATCAGTTGAACAAATATCACTCGTCATTGCCCCACCAGAGGCGTGTGACTTGGTTGTTGTACGTGAAAAAGTGTTGTAGAAATGGTTAACTGTTATAACTTTTTTGTTGTCTTTTTCTTTGGTCATGAAAGAAATTATGTGATGTGTTGGAATGAAACAAGACTTTGTAAGTAAGGAAATTATGTGTTGTGGAATCGGTATTTTGTAATGCTTCACGCTTTGATGTGTTGCAATGAAACAAGTTTGTTAATTTTTGCTTTTTGTGTTGAAATAACCGTGGTGTGTCTTCTACTTCTATTAATTTTTTCATTCGAGGAATCAGAATTACAAGAAGGTAGGAACTTGCTTCTCCTATTTATTATATGAAAAAGCCAATGAGCATGCTTGTGTACTGAATTAATGCAAGAAACTGCTGGAGACCTGTGGATTGTGGGTTTATCAAGACTTGTACATTGTTTACTATTAGCAACCTCCAACTTTCCTTCAAATAATTTATTTATTACTTTTTTTTATTGGTTTTTTTTCTTTGGTCCATAATTGGATGAAAGGAGCAGTGGTGTTTTGTGTATTTACAGGAAATTTTGGCAGTGGTTTAATGCTATTTGTTAGCTTCTGCGTGGCAGACAATCTCTATAAGGAATGAAAATAGCTTAGGTTTTAGTTAGGCTTTTACCATGTTACAGAGTTAATGAGCTTGCATTGGTTAAATAAACTTGCATAATTTGTGTCATTGAGTTGATGAGCTTACAATGTAACTGATTTTTCACATCTAGAACTCTAAACTTGCATAATTTGTGTCATTGAGTTGATGAGCTTACAATGTAACTGATTTTTCACATCTAGAACTCATGAACCTGGTTACACGAAGAGACGAGTTGATGAGCTTACAATGTAACTGATTTTTCACATCTAGAACTCATGAACCTGGTTACACGAAGAGACAAATTGGAAGTTGGTTTTAACCAGGAAAGAGTCATTTGTTTCTATAATCAGTGATCGAGCTTTCAACTAATGTCATAGATCTCAGTTCCTGTATCTGATCAGTACTAGCAAGTTTGGAATAATTTGAACACCAAGAGACGCAGAAGGATGAGAACAAGAAACCAATCCATAAATAAATGTATATTCATGATCCATATTAGCAGTTCCTAAGAAGTATATTCATGATCCATATTAGCAGTTCCTAAGAAGTATATTCATGATCCATATTAAGAGAGGAGTTAAACCAGCAAGGGAGATCCTATGAATGTTTAAACAAAGTAACTAAGTCACCAACTGTTAACTAAGCAACGTTAGAAAATGACTGAAGCTCCATGCAATTAGCTGTTGAATAATTTCCCACTAGCAGTGAATTGGAAAAGAGAAGCTTATGTTGATATGGCTTCAGTAAAAATATTTGATTAAGCAGATAAAATGCAAGATTTTGATGAAACAATGGACTTCTTTAACAAAACAGAAACATACAACAGTCCTTTAGATTACATCTCAGTTCCTGTATCTGATCAGTACTACCAAGACGATGCCAGCAAAAATGGAAATTCATATCAGTTAACAAAACCAGCAACACCATAAACTCTTGAGCTAAAAGAGCTTCTTATATTAGACAAAACAATGACTATGAGAAACTTGCATGTTTACAACTCAAGTCCCAGCAAAAAAATCAGCAACACCATAAACTTGCATGTTTACAACTCAAGTCCCAACAGAAAAATCAGTACACATTACAATACATTGCAATCAAACATAAACAACTAGATAGTTAAATGTGGGTAGAGGGTTCCTCATAAGCAAACACAAATAACGCGCAAATGTTGACAATAATCAGACCACTCCTGATTCAAGCTCCTAGTTAACACACTCCTCATTCAAGCTCCTGATTCATAAATACTAAAAGAATTATTACTCACGGATTTGTGAGTGCCGGACAATTTCGCTTATCATGTGATTGGCCTACTTTACCACACCCGTGACAACGTCTATCTTTTTTATTTTTGGCTCTAGTCATTGCTTTCTCTTTTTCTCCTGTCAACCTTTTGCCGCACCCTTTTGCTCGCACTTGATCGGGTTCATTGAAACTATTTTCATAACTACAAGAGCCATGAGCACTAGTACCATCAGTAATTATCTTACTACATATTGGATTACTTTTCTCAGTGAAGCTCATTACAGCCATATGGCTACTAAGAAATTGATCAATTTGCTCATTAATGCTACGCAATCCATCGGTAAACATCTCCCTTGTTTCTTCACATACGAGGGACTTGTCAACTAAATCCAAAGATGATTGGATAAATTGACTCCGCGTTAAAAGATAAGAATTGTCAGGGCTTATCTGCATGCCTTTATCATCATACACTGTCCCCGATTTTGCAGACTTAGTCCACCTCTTTAAGATGTATTTATCGGGCAATATTTCAGCATCAAATTTCATCAAATAAGAGATAATGTGAGTACATACAATTCCGGCGCTTTCAAACTTTTTACAACTACAAGAAACCAAATCCAACTGCTTGTCGTAAACGATTTCGCGGACTTTGCTTGTGGCGAGCTTCTTTCTTTGAATTTGATACACACTCTTATTGTCGGTTGCCCTAACAAACTGCAACTTATAGTTAAACATTAGTGTAAATATCAACCATTTGCTCCAAAAAGTCATGATTTATTATAAGTTTAGGTTTCTCAATCACGTCTTTGTGATCGGCCATCAACTCCTCGTGACGTTGGCGCACTAGTCCCCTGCCAAACTGTATCATAAAATCCACCAATGAATTATTCTTCGAAACAAATTTTTTAAAAAATGCATGTCCACTTTCTGCTTGTTGGCTACTTGACATGTCTGCTGAGAAAATGTGATTAACATATGCAGGAATCCATCTTGACCGAAGTTCATATTGGTCTTGCAACCACTTGTTTCCTTCTAACCCACTTTTTTTAATCAAACTTTTCCATTGTAAATCAAATTCTTCAGGAGTCTCTGATTTCCAAATGCAAGCCGAGAACTCATTTTTATAAATACTATACTTCACAGCATCAATTTTCTCAGAAAACTTCATTAATATATGCCAACTACAATACCTGTCAAAAGAATTAAATAAAGTGTTAAAAAGAAAGGCTATGTATATAAATATTTTTAATAATCTATACAAATTATAATACCTGTGAAAAGTATTTGGAAGAATATGAGGGAATGCCTTTGTCATAGCTGGGTCTTGATCAGTAATAATCATCTTCGGGGCACCACGAGGCATACTTTCCAAAAATTTATTAAATAACCATACAAAATCATCAACGCTCTCATGATTCAAAAATCCACAAGCAAAAACAACTGTTTGACCATGATTGTTAACCCCCATTATTGGTGCAAATATCAGGCCATAGCGATTAGTGTTATAAATAGTATCAAAGATTACAACATCACCGAAGAAATTGTAAGCCCGCCTTGAACTTGCATCAGACCAAAAACAACGAGTAATCTTTTGTTCCTCATCGGCCTCAATTTGAAAAGTAAATGCGGGATTCTTTCCTTGTTCCAGTTTTAAATACTCATAAAACATTTGACCATCATGCCCCTTCAAATCAGCCCGTATATCTCTTTCATGATTATACAAATCTCTTTGAGTGCACCCAATATTTTCTATACCTTCAGATTGTACTCCAAGAAAACTGAATTGTTGATGCTGAGGTGTATTCACCATTGATAACTGTTTAGTTAAAGACTTTGTTGCGGCTGAAACGTTACGGTGAGACCTTAAAAGATGAACCTTTGATGGTGTTGATAGCGGATGGCTGTGCTCCTCTTTAAAAATAGTAACAATGTATTTTCCGGAGATCGATTTTAAAACTGCAATTTTGGCATGACAATCTTCAGCTACGCTTCCTCGACGTCTTTTATTTCCAACATCCGCGATTCTTGGAGATTTTCCTTGTTTAAAACAAACATACTCCTTCCTTCTTATTTCGCCACTTCCCGGCTCTTTCTGAGTAGTCCAAGCCCTTATACTAAACCCAGCTGCTTTAGCATAAGCATTGTAGAATGTTACAACATCATCTATTGTGTTAAATTCTTGCCCCTTTTTTGGCCTCAACTCATCTGATACTTGAGGAGTATACATCGAACTATCGCCATCCAAGTTTAATTCATTTGCTTCAGTGTCCAAGTTTTCCATTTCTCATAAAAAATTTTAATTGACCTATAAAAAATGCACTGTATATCAAATTTCTGTAATTCGAACCAAACAACAACTGCTTGTTTTTGAAAAATCTGAAAATCAGAATGATTTTAGGCTTCAGTTAAATTATTCTAGTCAGCCTTCAACATTCCAAACCCAGAAAATTTCACAAGCACTGTGATCACACAGATATATGAAATACTAATTCACTATTAAACATGATTCAGATAACTGGTCAGCCAAGATGTAAATGAAAAAGAAAAAAGAAATTGCAACGCCTAAAACTGGTCAGCCAAGAGGATTTTTTTTTTTTTTTTTTGACAAGCTCAGTTCAGCCAAGAGGAAATTGCAACTTAGTCTGGCTTGAAACCCTAAGGACAACAAATAAACTATACAAAAATAACAGATAATAGGTAAAAAAAATTGGGGCTTGATCGTTACCTGAGTTGGGAGATTTAAGATCGAGCTCAGACTTCGTAGTCGTGGCAGAGGAGGAAGGGAGGAGGGATCTCGCGGTGGTCGGAATTTACAGCGAGCTCCGATTTTTGGGCTCCGATTTTGGGGTCCGACGTTGGGAGGGAGGCGGAGTTGGTCGACCTCGAGAAGCTCGCGGCGGAGTTGGTCGAGCTTCCGATTTTGGGGTTTTTGGGGGGGAGAGAGAGAGAGAGAGAGAGAGTCGATGAAAAAAGATATGGTGGATTCTGAGTATTTGTCACGTAGCGCGATGCGGCTGTTTTTTTTTGGGTTTTGCCAAAAAAAAACCACTCGGAGCTCTACGCACAGTGCGCCACTTAAAACGATAATATATATATATATATATTATTATATATATATATTAATATATTATTTGGACAATAAAAAAATAGGGAAAGGACGTACTTGATGGAGTGCGCTTCTTGTAGAGGATCCGATAGTTGCACTCCTTGCACGCGATCGGGTCGCCAAGCTTCAGCGTCATCTCCAACCCACAATCTGAAAACAACACCGACATTATTTATTACTGTTATTATTATTTAATCAATTGAAAATTTACGAAGGAGACAAAAAAGTAAACAAAATTTTTCATGGATTAAGATACCCCGCACAGAGATAGGTGACGGTGACGGGTTCTGGCTGTGGATCCATGAAACACGAATTTTTAGGGTTTAAGACGAGGGCAAAGGGCTCTTGGCTAGGGTTTAAGAAAAAAGATGGGTCAGGGCTTTAAAAAAGTATTAAGCTTTTTTATATCTAGAGTATGGACGACCGAGGAGGCCCTCCGTTGTGCTGGGCCAGGCCCAAACTAGTCTGGACTGAAATCATTTGGCATATTTTCACTCTGGTACCCCGAAAGTTCACCTATATCTGCACTTAGATACCTCCCCCAAGTGTCAATCTTGTCTCATTTTGATACCTGTGTCCGAATTCCGCTAGATTTCCTGTTGGATTTGTCCCCTGCTATTGGAACATTTGGTTGCAATATTTAATAGAATTCTAATGAAATTTCAAGTAGGGGTGTCAAAGTGAGATAGAATTGACACTTTTGGGCTTCGAAGTGATAACAAATACTTGAGGGTATGAAAATGAAAAAAAATGGGTAAAGTTTGAGATACGAAATTGAAAATAAGCCCTTGAAAAATTGTAGTTAGTTTTCTTTTTCTTTTTCTTTTTTTGGGTAAGCTCGATCTCTCTCGCTCTTCCAATCATGTTCCTGGTAAAAGACATGGACTTGAACATTATTAATGGTAAAGAATAATTGTTTTACCGCGCAAGAGGGATGATAGATGAAATAAGCTAGCAATTTGCATTAAGACCATCTCTCTTTGTCAACCATGTCTAATCCTGCCTAAGGATGTAGATATCGATTACAATTTACCAGACTTAATTGCGAGTAGCTTACAAGAGTATAACCTTTTAAAAACTTACCCCAAGAAAATTTTACATACTTAATGTAGAATTAACAAAGAGGAGAAGACGACGGTTAACGACTGCATACAACTTTAATCTGTTTCTTTTCTTTCAGCTTTATAAAAGAGGCTTTTTTTCCCCAGCCTTCAAATAAATGCGAGCCTTTTTGTTCATCAATTTCTCAAAATTTCGATTGTGTCCAAATATTTCATCCAGAAAGTTGTGAGGCTGAATTGGACCCATCTCAAGAATTGCTTCCCTAACTGCTAGTCAATACTCCACAACAATACAAACGCTCTAATACCAATCATGAAATTTTAGCAGTTGGATAATCACTTGAACAAAGTTCTGATTATTTTTAATAGATAAGAAAAGAGTAATTAGCTCATTTACTACACAATTTTAAAGTATTTGTTGATTGTGAATTGCCACAATCTAAGAGTCTGAGAAATGAACGTAACAAGCAACACCGAAGGGGGAACTAGCGGCTCCCCTGAATCTCTGGTCACTATTTTGTACCCTTTTAACTGATTCTATTACAATAGCAATTCTCGTGCTTCTGTACATATTTGCAGCAGGAGATATTTTTCATGTACATTTCATTCCCCTCAAAAAAGGAAACAAAAGGGGTAAAAAAAAATTTAAAATGAAATAAGCTGCAGGCCGAATCAAACTAGCCTATAAAATTGAGGGGAAATTAATTGCACTTGTAGAAGGAAATGGCAATATACCTTTCGAAGAACAACGAAAGAATTAAACTGGCATCAATTATACATAAGACAGAGGAACAAGAGAATAGAGCCGCCCTGTAAAACAAAAATTCAAAGAGGGCATTAGGAAAACTTGCTAATCTCCACTTTACTGTTTGCATCTTCCATGAGATCTTTGAGTATTTTTTCACAGAAAAGAGAATTACCACCCCCACCACCCACCCCCAAAAAAAATCCAAATAATAATAATAATAACGACAACAAATATAAATAAGCAAATAACAACAATAAATATCAACTGTGTTGGGTATGGTGAGTAAATTTTGGCTATTGTTGATATTTTTACATTGCAGTACCAACGAGTATCAAAATTAATGATTTAGGAATTTTCTTACAAAAGTTTTATGAGTTAGGGTATACTAAGATTGGGGGTAGTCTTGTGCATGATATTAAGGGGTACGCACATACATACACAGAACTATTTCATAATAGCGTGCAAGCAACATTTGCACAACATTTACGGGAAAAAAAGAAGTTTAGAAATTTCACCTGAATCCAGAGTTGCCAATTTACTATGTAAAAGCAATAATCCTATCTGTAATTTTTGTGCGACAAAGAGGGCACTCAGAACAAGCTTGTGAACAAGGTTTACACACTGTCAACAGTGGCATGGAAATTAGTTAGTCATAAAACCACAAATAATTGTACAATAGATTTGACAATGATATGAAAAGGAAACAGACGGCTTACAACAAAAATGCCGACATGGAAGTAGAACTGCAGCTGCAGGAGATTCAAAGCAAACTTTACAAACATGAGAATCTGTGTCCCCGTTCCCTACAGAGTCCAGTTCTTTCTCCTTCATCTCTTGGATTTTGGCCTGAAAAGGAAAGAAATAGTTGGAGATATGAGGGGATGTAAGTGCTTGCACACATCAGAAGGCTGGTAAGCTAGTTTCGGGACCAGTTCTTAATAGAAGAGATATCAGATATGTGTTGTTTATGGAGCCTCATTTACATGGAGAATACATATTATTAACAGGACCCAGAATTGGACACCTAAAAGAATTCTACCCAGACTGTGGCGATACCGGGTATTTTTATAATTTTGACCCTACAGACAGAAACCTTATGCTATAAATATGTATTTTCAGCTGCTTATTATTTGAGCATCCAAAAGAGATAAAAATAGGTAAGGCAAGGGGGTGAGATTAGTGTTTGAGAGATTAATTGTAATCCTTCATTGATTAATAGAGGATCGTAACCTGGTTGTACTCTGACCAGGTAGATAATCACATTGGTTGCTCAACCTCGTTAAATCTGTCTCTATCTTGGGTTTTCGTTCTTTCTAATGTTCATTTGTGTTAGGCTTTCCACTGTGTTGCTAAAAATATGAATAGAAGTTAGAAGTATACATATGTACACAAATTAAGATTCATGGCTGCACGCACACAGAAAGATATAGAAGAGGTTATAGAAACTCTTTTTGTATAATCATGCCTCCAGAATCCAGGCTGTGGTAGATTTACTTGCATAGCTACTGAGAAGGGGAAAGTTACTCAATCACAAAAAAGAATGAAAGAAACCAAGTAAATTTTGTCATCATCAGCTCCTCCCACCAACATAAATGCAACTGGCTATTCTATTACGCTTCGCTTCTGACAGATTTATAGTAATGGAAGACTTTCACTTGCATGATTTTGAATCTAATTACAGTAACGGTAAAACATTGAAACGTTTATCATGGAATTCAGCTGCAACAGGTAATACACAATTTTGATCCTCTACCCCTGTTGCATGGAACCTTGATTCGTTTTTATTGTCTCAGTGGTATGACATCCAATATAAAAATAGGAAATAACAGATAAGACCAAGTGCAATGGCTAACAATTGGGATAATTATTTGGTGCAATGGCTAAGCAAGTGGATAGGCAAATGAAAAGTAGGGGAGAGAAAAGGCAAAATTTGCCTACCGGTTAAATTTCACCAAGGGCCCCGCGTGTCAGTATCTGAAATTTAAAAAAAAATAAAAACAAAACTCCATCCAATCAGAATGCGCCACGTCGGCGCCTGCTGGGCCTGCAGCAGACTTCCACATTCTCACCCTCTCATTTTTTTCTTCTTCTTCCATCTTCAACATCCTTCATGGATCCTTCACAGAACTAAAACTTTCTCCCAAATTACAACTATCCAAACCAATCTCAAAATCCGAATATGCAACCTCAAAATCCAAATACACAATGGCCTGAAAATCATCCTTATATGCCATATGGCTATCAAAATCCTAATATGATGCCACCAAATTATGGAATGCAATACCCGTATAATCATCCTTATATGCCATATGGCTATCAACCAGTTCCTGGAAACAGCACTCTTCCATCTCATGTCAATTTTCCAAACATTAAACCGACTAGTGAGCCAAACACATCTCGCTTTAGTAGTGGATCCACTGATATCCCACAATTTTCTACACAAATCTCTCTGGGAGAACTTGGTGGGGATACTCCCCACAGTTTTGAAGCTCCAACCCAACAATCAGCGAAGAAAGGAAATTACGCCAGTTGGACTTTTGAAGAGAACAAGTTGTTATTAACTGGTTATTTCCACTACAGTACTGACAGTGAATTGGGTTCAAATCAAAAGGGTGATACTTTTTGGGGCAAAATCTCTGATTACGTGAATGAGAACTCCGATCGTGGGATACAGAGGAACATTGTAAAATGTCAAAGTCATTTTCGTGACCTCAACAAGAAGATTAGTAACTTTGTTGGTTGTTATAGTGCTGCTACTAGGGAGAGACGTAGTGGTTGGTCAGACAATGACTACATATCCAAAGGTCTAGAGTTGTACAGTGAAAACCAAGGTACAAAGTTTCAATTGTTGGATGAGTGGAAGTTGGTTCGTCACCAACCCAAATATATGACAGGAGCAACTGCATCTGGAAGTAGTGGATCTAAGAGAAAGAGTGGTAGCGATGACATTGATTCTGCTATTCATTCCCTTGTACGTCCGGAAGGTAGGGATGCAACAAAGAAGAAAGCTAGAGCTTCATCTAGTAAATCATCAACTTCAAGAAAATCAAAGATTACCATTCAGGAAGAGTTGTCCGATTTAGCATCTCGTCGTGACGCTAATGAACAATACAAGGCTACTCAAGTCTCAGCTATCCAGGAGTACAATCGCAATAAGAAGTTAGAGATGTGGTTGAGCTTGAAGAACAAAGAGGCCCGAGATGATGAAGATGAAGCGGCGTATAGTATGTTGAAGAAGGAATTGTTTGGGAACTAGTTTGCATATTCCGTGTATTATTATCGAATTGTGTGTTCTTCATAAGCATGTGTGTTTTATTGTCGTGATGTATGTTCTTTAGTAAGCGTGTTGTTTGAATAAGAGTGTTGTTTGAATTACGATGTTTTGTTTGAATAATAGTGTTGTTTGAATATTGTGTGACTACACATTCTGACGAATATAAGGACATGGATATGACTACTCACTGCATTAAACTCTAAAATCAATAATCAACTCACTAGCTCAGACAAGACTATGACTACTCACTGCATTACACTCCAAAATCAATAATCAACCCACTAGCTCCGACAAGACTATGACTACTCAATATCTTATCTTCATATTCAATTTAGTTAACTAAATTGAATGGAATCCGGAGCTCATTCACTATAAATATGGTAGTGCACAGTGTTATCGAGCCTCAGCTATCTAGGAGTACAATCGCAATAAGAAGTTAGAGATGTGGTTGAGCTTGAAGAACAAAGAGGCCCGAGATGATGAAGATGAAGCGGCGTATAGTATGTTGAAGAAGGAATTGTTTGAGAACTAGTTTGCATAATGTGTGTTTTATTGTCGTGGTGTATGTTCTTCAGTAAGCGTGTTGTTTGAATAAGAGTGTTGTTTGAATTACGATGTTTTGTTTGAATAATAGTGTTGTTTGAATATTGTGTGACTACACATTCTGACGAATATAAGGACATGGATATGACTACTCACTGCATTACACTCCAAAATCAATAATCAACCCACCAGCTCTGACAAGACTATGACTACTCAATATCTTATCTTCATATTCAATTTAGTTAACTAAATTGAATGGAATCCGGAGCTCATTCACTATAAATATGGTAGTGCTGCTAGTGCACATCATATGAATATCAACCAAAGCATTTTACTTCATACTTTCCTCTAATTATCATCCAACGGATCTACCCCCAAATATGGTTAACCTTGAAGAGGTCCAACGACAATGGGAGTTGGAAAATTCCATACTCGATAGGCAACAACAACTTCTTGAAGAGTTACAACATAGAAACAAACGACCACACACAAAAAAATTTCTACATGATTCTTGCGGGCTCGATAACACTGTGCACTACCATATTTATAGTGAATGAGCTCCGGATTCCATTCAATTTAGTTAACTAAATTGAATATGAAGATAAGATATTGAGTAGTCATAGTCTTGTCGGAGCTAGTGGGTTGATTATTGATTTTGGAGTGTAATGCAGTGAGTAGTCATAGTCTTTGTCTGAGCTAGTGAGTTGATTATTGATTTTAGAGTTTAATGCAGTGAGTAGTCATATCCATGTCCTTATATTCGTCAGAATGTGTAGTCACACAATATTCAAACAACACTATTATTCAAACAAAACATCGTAATTCAAACAACACTCTTATTCAAACAACACGCTTACTAAAGAACATACATCACGACAATAAAACACACATGCTTATGAAGAACACACAATTCGATAATAATACACGGAATATGCAAACTAGTTCCCAAACAATTCCTTCTTCAACATACTATACGCCGCTTCATCTTCATCATCTCGGGCCTCTTTGTTCTTCAAGCTCAACCACATCTCTAACTTCTTATTGCGATTGTACTCCTAGATAGCTGAGACTTGAGTAGCCCTGTATTGTTCATTAGCGTCACGACGAGATGCTAAATCGGACAACTCTTTCTGAATGGTAACCTTTGATTTTCTTGAAGTTGATGATTTACTAGATGAAGCTCTAGCTTTCTTCTTTGTTGCATCCCTACCTTCCGGACGTACAAGGGAATGAATCGCAGAATCAACGTCATCGCTATCACTCTTTCTCTTAGATCCACTACTTCCAAATGCAGTTGCTCATGTCATATATTTGGGTTGGTGACAAACCAACTTCCACTCATCCAACAATTGAAACTTTGTACCTGGTTTTCACTGTACAACTCTAGACATTTGGATATGTAGTCATTGTCTGACCAACCACTACGTCTCTCCCTAGTAGCAGCACTATAACAACCAACAAAGCTACTAATCTTCTTGTTGAGGTCACGAAAATAACTTTGACATTTTACAATGTTCCTCTATATCCCACGATCGGAGTTCTCATTCACGTAATCAGAGATTTTGCCCCAAAAAGTATCACCTTTTTTATTTGAACCCAATTCACTGTCAGTACTTTAGTGGAAATAACCAGTTAATAACAACTTGTTCTCTTCAAAAGTCCAACTGGCGTAATTTCCTTTCTTCGCTGATTGTTGGGTTGGAGCTAGAAAACTGTGGGGAGTATCCCCACCAAGTTCTCCCAGAGAGATTTGTGTAGAAAATTGTGGGATATCAGTGGATCCAATACTAAAGCGAGATGTGTTTGGCTCACTAGTCGGTTCAATGTTTGGAAAATTGACATGAGATGGAAGAGAGTTGTTTCCAGGAACTGGTTGATAGCCATATGGCATATAAGGATGATTATACGGGTATTGCATTCCATAATTTGGTGGCATCATATTAGGATTTTGATAGCCATATGGCATGTAAGGATGATTTTCAGGCCGTTGTGTATTTGGATTTTGAGGTTGCATATTCGGATTTTGAGATTGGTTTGGATAGTTGTAATTTGGGAGAAAGTTTAAGTTAACTGAAGGATCCATGAAGGATGTTGAAGATGGAAGAAGAAGAAAAAAAATGAGAGGTGAGAATGTGGAAGTTGGAAATATAAGGAATGAAGTGAGTTACGATTTGCACCAAATAATTGTCCCAATTGTTAGCCATTGCACTTGGTCTTAGGTAAAATAATGAGGGCTTGCATTATTTTACATAACATGATAGTCGAGGATGAACGAGATACATATTCGCGAAACTGGAAAAATATTGACTTCGAACCATCGAACAATGCTAGCGCTAGCTCTAGCTCCTCTTTCAATGTCCAAACACAAGTGTTGCCACAATTTGAAGTGCACGTTCAAGCCCGAGCCGAATCGGATATTCATACTAGAGCCGATCTACGTGATAGGGCCAAACACATTCAGTTGAAAAATGATCTCGTCGAGCACATTTGGCAAAAATTTGGAGCAACCTTCGAATAGAAATGTCAAAAAATTTCAATGTTTGGTGTGTTTTTTCTTGCATGTTTCAATAAACTATGTATGTTTGGTGTATTTTTTCTTATACGTTTTCAATAAATTATGTATGTTTAGTTTACCACTACATTAATAATAGTGTGTGTTGTTTTCTTTTATAAAATTAATATATTATTTATTGCATTAAAAATTAAGTTTTTTGAAAATTATAAATTATTAAAAAATACATATTATTTATTACATAATAAAAATTAAATTTTATAATTATAAATATATTAGTAAATATAATAACGATTAAAATGTATAAAAAATAAGAATAATAGGATGAATAAATATGGTGGGGTATATGGTTGAGTGATGTGGAGGAAAGATAAAGTGAAAAACTTTTGAAAAACTAGTTGTTGTGGAGTTGAAAGGCAATTGGAAAAGGCAAGTGATGTGGAGGGAGAATAAAGTGAGGTGGAAGGAGAGAGAAAGGCAATATTTGCCTTGCCATTGGAGATGGTCTAATAAATCCATATTGACTTGCAAAACAACATCAGATGAGGACATTAGATAAACGGGTTTTGGGTTACTGGGATATGGCTTAAAAGTCTGCATGTGTTAGCCAGTTAAGAATAGAATATTAAAATGGTCTACAACAGGGTGTTAACGTCCAAATCAAAATAAAAGCAAATTTAACAAAAGCACGAAAGTTATGCATTTACCTTCAAACGGTTGAGCAGAGGTTCAAATTCCGGACTGTGATTCAACTGCTCACCGTTTGGCTTTATCAATCCATTAGATATCTGCCTTTCTTTCGCAAAAGCGTTATTATTATCATTTTTATTCTCTTTCTGGTCATTCGTGAAATCTGCTCCATTGGCAGCCCTTTCATCAGCTCCAAACTCAGATATATCCGAACCACCTTTCTTCAGTTTAGCAACGAGCACCCACATGCCAGCTAAATCATTCTCTAAAGATGCTTCTCTTTTCTTGGCTTCATCAAATTTTCTTTTGTATTCCTCTTCTAGGATCTCCTTTTCAGCTAAAGCAGCTTCCAGAGCAGCTTCTCTTTGCTTCCTTACTTGCAACTCTATCTTCATATCATCAAATTCATTATTTCTTCTCCCCAATTTGACACCTTCATTCTTCCGAATGACACTGTTACTTCTAGAGTATGCCATCTCTTGAGCAACTAATAACTCCTGTGCTTGTCTTGCATTTTCCAATGAGAGTTTGGTTACTTCCTCGGCCAAGTTTTTAAGTTCAACTGCAGCAGCAGAGGCCAATTCTTTCGCATAAGAAGCTTCGTCTGCTAGTTTCTGGTTTTGACTAAGCAAACCTCGGTTCTCGTCTATGAGCTTAAGGCGCTCCTGTGTTAATTTCTTATTCTCAGTCTCCTGCCCAAGACAAATGCAAGTCACTTTATTTTTAAAAAAGGCATTAAAGGGAGAAAGAAACCAGGAGCTTTTACTAAATAAAAATAAACACGTACTTGAAGGAAATTACAGCATAAATTTTTAATGGAAGATAGGTAGTAATAAAGCTTCAAGTGTAAAACTACTATTAAACTTGGGACTTGAAGGCTTCAAGGGTCAATTTTGATCTAAACATTGGAAAATAAGTTTTAATAAGGAGAGGTTTGCAGGCTTGTTGGCTTATCATAATAAAACTGGGTGTGCCCGTCTAGTGAATGCTAATACCACAATAAATGCTTAGTGGGGCACAACAGCAATAAACAAAGCTAGGACAAAAAACAACAAAGATGGATTCACACTAAAAGTGATGCCTAGGGGTTAAATCTGAGAACCATTAGCCTATAAACATCTTTACAGTGATATGCATCATCAATTCATGCGTCAAATCACAGGAATTAATAGCCAGCAATAATGTAAAGGAATAAAAACTGGATAAACCAAATCAACAGTGAAGACATCCTAAAGAAAATCCAAACAGTACAAGATCAAAGTAATGACCTGAGATCGTGATCTGCTCCTCAACTCAGCAATTTCAGTTGAGAAGGTCTGTTCTGGAGATGATAATTGCATATCGGTTTTCATTGAATTTATCTGCTCCTGCAGAAGGAGAACTTTCTCTTGAAGTTCGTTGTTTTCAGTGCACTGTCAATAAGGTATGTGAAATATGTGAGACATCTCCGTTATAAACATGAAATACAAGTATAATAAGAGTTCATTATCTAATTAAGAGCCTGTATATGTTTTAGAGTTTTACCAAAAGTATCATCATTTGATTATCACTGATCAAGTAATTAAAAAATCTTAAATTATTAGGATTGACTTATTATTATCAGAAAGAAACCTTAGGTTCTAATTTAATTAGAGATTTGCAAAATAGAACTGGTAATTTATACTTTAAGTTCTTACTATCTAAAATTCTAAATTCCTCTAAAATTTGTCTTAAAAGATGGCTCCTAAATTTTTTTCTATAATTCATAAATATGAGAATGTTTCCAAAATCTGAGTCTTTCTTTTTGTTGATACTCACCAGAACTAAACCAAAAAAATCTCCTTTTAATTAGTCACTTTTATTCTAGATCTCACAGGAATCGAAGTAAGGACATTTAGCCTTATCCTAAGAAAATATATTAAATTTATCAAACAAAATAAAGTTCTAACCTACTAATTAAACAATATTAGAATAAGAATATTTACATTGAATTAATTAGAAATACCAAAATAAATTTTATTAAAAAAAATTTAAATATACTATTTAGATTAATTAGCTTTCCTAGATATCTGATTGTTAATAACAGCATATTGCACAAGCAAAAATACGTGGACACACAATTCATATATCAGCTAGGAATCTTATAATTGACTGAAAAAGTCAGCCAGTCTTTGCTCCAATAGGGAAAAAAACATGTATGTACATTCTATACCACAGAAACTACAGACATCCAGCTGCATACCTTCTGCTGTAGTTGCTCCTGAAGGATACGGTTGTCCGCTGTTTTTAACTGCAAAATTTTGGATATAGGAGTTAAAATGGAACTGCATGTTCCAGGAATAGACTTATGCAAGACACAAAAGAAAAAAAAAAGGAAGAAAGCATACTACCAATAAAGGCTATCAAGTCACTAAACATAAAAGAGCAGATAAAGAGGCAAGAGTTGCAAAATAAAAGTGTAGTCTTTCTTGCACCATTCGTAAACCTGTTGCTTCTAATTTGAAAAGTTGCAGCTTGCAGAAAGAGATTTATCATAAAAAAAAATACCTCTAGTTCAAATCCCTTTTCGCTGCACTGCGTCGTCAACTTCATGATAGTCTGTTTTCACAGAAACAGGAATAAAATGTTCTCACAGAAGCAGAATAAAAAAACAACGCTATTATGAAAAATCAGTTCAAAGGATTGGGAAGATTATGAGAGACTAGAAGGCAGGTACCTGCTGCATATCAACCAACGATGCATTGGCTACTGATGCGTCGCCACTCTCCATAATCCGTTGCTCCAAGGCCCTCATTTGTCTCCTTTTCTCCTGGATTTCTCTTTCCAAGTTCTGAATCTGCAGTTCATTTTTTTTCAACAAAACTTTAGACATGGTAAGTTTTAGTCCCAATAGAATATTGTTAAATTACTTCAATATACATGTAATAAGTTTTCTGCAATTTTCTCATCACTCTTGGAGTGAAATTTAAGCGAAGGAATACAGATTTGTACATGTACCTGCTCTTAGGTGAAAGATTTCTGCCTATCACTACACAATTAAGTAGCATGATGCTTTTTACCGTAAGGTCCTACCCATTCAGAGAGGGCATCTTTATCGGATGCTAACAACTCCCACATTCTTGAAACCGTGTGGAGGTTTCTTGCACACATTATACAATTCTCATACATTTGTTTATTCACATGTTTAAGATATCTATATGTTTTCATACATGAATTAAAGACTGGAAAAACCATCAAAATTTTGATTTATACAATTATATGTCAGCTATTCTGTAGAAGGTTAAAGGGTTAAGCCCTATTTTCAAGCATAAGTGTCATAAACCACATGCAGATTAATATTTTAGCATAGAAATAATTTATATGTTTTATATCATTATAAATTTCTGGACTTTTGAGTGCACGATATGCAGGCGTGCAGGGCTGGGTGGAGGTGTGTGTGCATGTGTGAAATAAATGGGTATGACTTATGATATAGCAGCTCATTTTGCTAATTAAGCTACCAAGAGAGACTAGTAGATCAATGCTGATGCTCACCCTGCTAGTCACGTTGAAAGGAATGTGTGAATCATAACAGTTGTATCTCTTGGTAGCACATTTTGATAAATGATGTCAGCAGCCTTTATCCTACTTTTCACCGAACTGCCCTGATCCAAGTTCTTATCCATGTTGTATATGCATATGCTATGCCCAAAACTCATGCTTCTTAGGTGCACATGTAAACCAAATGACCACATGCACGTGTATACACCTCTGCGCACCGACATTGCATTTGTATGCATGCACAAAAAGCACGAAAGGGAGGGCAAATTTTACGGGAAAAAAACAATAACATTAGACAACTAACTCTTAAACATAATAAATAAGTACCCTTTTGTTATCAAACAAAGAAAATTGATTTCCATGTCCCTAACAATTTTCTATATAAAGAGGAAAGTAAAGGGATGGTTTTACCGCTAAAATTCAAATCTATATGATCTTTTTCATAATAAAAAGCAACCGTTGATGTGGATTTAAGGTTTATGTTAGTATTGAAATACATGTACATCATGTTCGTAACTGGTAATAAGTCGAATCCAATCAACCATTCTATGAATAAAAATTACTAGGGTAGTTTCTAACTTATTAGCAGCTCACATTAGAAATACAATAACGAAAACAGCTATTCAAATATAATTAATGTTTATAGTATTAATTAGAAACAATAGTAATTAAGATAAACACTCAGATTTGCATGGAATACATGTGAAAGCAGTTTTTTCCCTATAAGCATTTTGAGATTACACATACTATCATATCTCCAAAATCCCATCGCAAGAACGTACATTTGTAATGCAGTTAAATCTGTAAATATTCCTAACGAATATGATATTAGCAAACAAGAGTAAGGGGCAGATTTGTACTTGAACTTGTGAGCCATCTGGATCATTGACAGACTGCTCTACTAATCGTTTCAGTGTACTGGTACTGAAAGCAATCTCTCCGGCAAGCATTTTAACCTGCTCCACAAGGAGATCCATTTGATCTGACATCGTTATCCCAGCCTGCAACAATGAACACAAAAAGATAGATCATCTTCCTGGAAACAATAAAATTTTATGACAAGAGCTTCATGGACATAGATAAAGGTAAAAAGGCAACACATTAAAGTTTTGAGATGACTCAGATAAAATCGTTAGCCAAGACTAAGTCTTTCAACTGAAGAACATGCAGGAAAAAGACCTATGCCCAATTAGAAGATGTTGTGAAAAAGCTAAAAATAACCGTCTCAATAGCTTGTACCCACCAAAGAGTATTCCAAAAGAAGAATATAGCTGATGGAACTTGAAGGATAAAAATACATTGCATAACATATAACGTCATCACAGTGGGTTACCATTGAGAGCTTGTCACCGTTTGCATTTCCACCTTGTGCAGCTTCTGTGAGGCTACTCAATGAAGGATTCTCTTCATTAGGACTGATGCCATCCTTTAAGGAGCCCTCAGTTTCGAGAAGTTTTGGAGAACCTTCACGCAGAAGATCCAATTTCTGGAATAAGAGAAATTAAAACACATAAGAACGTCCTTTCCAAATCACAAAATATGAACTCTGTATCAAGCCAGAATTGAGAGAGCTCTCCAAATAAAACTTATGCAATATAATGAAGCTAGTAAACTTCGTTGTATGTCTCAAGAGGATTTTGCAGTAGCAAATGCAAAGCAAAAGAGACGACTGAATACACCAAGCATGCATAGAAAAGATAAATTAAGGCATAACTCCTAAAGTAGAGAAATAGCAAATAGATTGAAGCTAGTAACAGTAGAAGTCCATAAAATATATAAACTTGAAATATTAATTGCCCAATGTATAAGCAAGAAATTAGAATGGGTTTCATATCCATATAAAGGATTGTACCATCTGCAACCAATGTAACTGAGAAACATAACACTTGGCTGATCTGCCTAGCTTGAAAATCAATTCTGATTTCTGTGTTCCCTTGACCCTCAAAAGTCCCATTTTCAGTAAGTTCAATAATTTAATAATTTCCATTTCAGTTTCAGCATCCCAAAATGTAACATATCAAGACAAATATTTAGGAATGTTTTATGATTTGAATAAAATATAAATCATAGGATGTAACATTATTCTTTTTTAAGATTTGAAAGGTCGTGACTGTGTTCAGAAATCTACTTCTATATGTACAACAGAAAGACCATCCCATCTCTTGCAACTCGTTCTGACACCACCTTTTAGTTGGAATTTTGAATGAGTACTTAAAAGATAGCATGCAAATGAAAGCATAGTAAATGGAAAAACGACATGATATGCTCATCAAGCACCCAAAAAAATGATAGAATAAATAACATATATAACAACAATAAGATCTTTTCCATTAACATGAAAGAGCATAGTGTGGAGAGAAACGTGCCCCCATTTGTTAAACTGAGATTCTAACTTCTAACTGGATGGATTGCCTCATACTTACATACATTTAACAATTGAAATATCAACATATAGGTATGCAGAAATTTAAATCATCTTTTATATTTTGGTGAACAGGTGCATGTGTGCTATACTATGTATGTGAAAAGAAACATGCTCATATTTGTCAAACAGAGACTCTTAACTTCTATTGGACGGAATGCCTCGTACTGATATACTTTTAACAATTAAAAAAATCATCATATAGGTATTCAGAGACTTACATCGTCTTCTGGATTCTGGTGACCAGGTTCACTTAAACATCCGGGAATAGTATTTTTTGTGGAAACAAGTATTAGCTTGGTTAATCTTTGTATTCTACTCATCAAAGCAGCTTTTGCTTCTTCTTCCTCCTCCAAACGAGATTGCATCTTTACTTGACCTTCTTCAAGCTGTCAAAAGGATAAGAAAGCACAATGGTAATTCCTAAATAAACATTTGGATAAGCTGGTTATCATACAAGGATCAACATATGGAAGAAGTATTTCAAACTGAAACGTAAATCTATAGAATAGTGTAAACATGTGAATGAGCCAATTCAAGCGAATAACAGAAGCAAGCACCTGTTGCTTCAGGCTCAGAATTTCCTCGTGAGTGATACCAGGAAGCATCCCACTCCTAAGCTGATCAAGCTCTTGTTTTAACACTGATATTTCTTTCTGGTACTTTTTGATAAGTGATTTTTCATCTATAATCTGTGAAGAAGTGAAAAATAATAATAATAATAATAAATGCATTTTCCAGAACTGCTGCAACGGTCATTGAAAGTTTTGCCAGTATATCCCTACCCGATTACGAGAAGCATAAATCTCAACACGCTTTGCCCTACTTGCAAACTTCAATGTGTTATGTGTTTCTTCCATATTACTAGATGCAGGAGTAACTGTGCAAATAAGCTGTGCATAAGACACATCAGCTTTTTCCCTCCAGGAAGCAAAACCATTTCAGAACAAATATTTAAGAGGCAGAAACTTGCTACATTTGAGCATTAGAAAATAAAATGATAGATAACAACATATATCTTGTGAGAAAAATATACATTTGCAACATAGCATAAACAATTCCTTGGCCTAATAAACATAAAGATGTCATCCAAAAAGCATATGCATTACACACTCACCGACACATGACCGTGGCCACTCAAAGACGATTGTAGAAGGCGAGTCAACTTAGAGTCACGATAAGGTATATGACAAGCCTTTCCATCACTTAGCTTTCCGATTACCTTCAAAATTCCAGCACTACAATTAGTATATAGATTCTAAATTCTAGAGCTAAAACAACTATTACCATTGTACAAACTGCTAGAACAAAAAGAGTATACCATACAGTGTAGCATTCTATGGAGAGTCCTATGTTATGATATTTGAAGCAACCATGATGTGACAACAAAACAAATTTACAACTACAGGTTTACCCACAATAACCTCTCAGATGGGGTTGCACGGTTATAGTAATATGAAATATATCATTAAGTAACACATTAATAACATTGTGTTGTAAGATAATGTATAATTACAAAGTGTACAAAGCCAATAGGAAGTCATAGACATTAAAAAAAAAAGTAAGAACTGCCAAATGTAGCCAAAAGAATTTATATAAAGTTATGAATTACAGAATTACGTATAACAAATATATTAAGTTAAACTGTCAAATTTTCTTTTTCATGTTTAAGCACAGGGCATGTAGTAACCATAGCAAGATTGTCATACAGTGCAACAACAACATGCATATATACTTTGTTTGTCATACACTAATAGAAAAAAATAAAATAAAAACATAGGAAAGCTGTATGCACATGATACATGCCAGTAATACCAATAGAAAACAAAAAACAAAAACATCTATTTGGAAAATTTAATATAAAGGAAGTCAAAGAAAAGCAGGCACATGCAAACAATTCACAAAGTGCAGGCCAAATTTATAAAAGTATGATGAGTAGCAAGTAGCAGAGTCTAGTAGACATGGAAATGAATAAAGATGTTTTGTAGTTCAAATTGTAGTCTACATTTAAATATAATCCATCAGAATATTATACAGCTAGTAGCAAGTAGCAGAGTCTAGTAGACATGGAAATGAATAAGATGCTTTGTAGTTCAAATTGTAGTCTACGTTTAAATATAATCCATCAGAATATTATACAGCTTGTTCTCTTATAAAGCATCAATAGGTATCTTCATACTTTGCACACATAATTTTGACAAGCGTGCAAGCACATGCACTCACTCATGCATGTGTATGCAAGTAAGAACTATTACCAGAAGTTTATGCACACACACACATACAGGGAGGGAGGGAGGGGGAGGAGGTTT